CACTGGTGGATAATTGCAGTACAGCAATAACTCGTATACTCCGACTTTTATATCCTTTTCACATAATTGTTATTTTTTTTTGCCATTTACACGGTTAAGTCTCTTTATGTGCGAGTTTATTATATTTAGTTCCTCAATTAGTCCACTTAGAAACAGTCTACCTGGTGCTGCTACCCAGTGTTTACTGGATTTGATACGATATTATTTAATTTATTTAGTTTAATTATTTTCATAATAAGTATTATTCAATTAAAGAAGATATGTTAATATATCAATTATTATCTACGTACATAATATATTGTGAAATATAATGGATAAATCCGGGAACACGTCATTGGGGTAAACATAATTGGAGTGGGGAGAAGAGCTTTCTTATTCGCACTTCATCCGGAATGATCTATGTGTTAAATATGCTTTTATAACTTGGTAGAAGGTGTATGAAACTTTGTTTCGTTGTGCCGGATATAACCCCCAGTCGCAATATGAATATAATTGTGATTAATTTGAAGCTTTTGGCAGTCCCTTTAAAACTTTTCCAGTAATTGCCAGAGCTTTCCTTGCCTTTACATTGTACTGAATCACGTGAATCTCTGTAATTAAATGATTTATTTGAACGATTCATCTGATTTAAGATTCCTCCAAGATTAATTAAATTAGATTGATAAAAATATTAATACGAAGATATTTGTTAAATTTTCATTCGAATATGTTATAAAATAAAGATTTTATTTTTATTTTAAACAAGCAATCTATTACAATACAAAGAAAAATAATAAGCTTTAATTCTGGATAAATATAAATGAAATAAACAATATTGCAGATTGATCCAATGACCAAACAAAACTGATAAAATATAAACAAATAATAAATAAAGTACTTCACAATACATCAGAAGCGAGTAGGAAGATCGTGCGGTTGTAATCACTTCAGTCTACGTATATTGCCATCTGTGTTGCTCAGCTCTACAGCAAGTTGTTGCTTTAATAGTTCGGTTATTCGGTCAATATAATAATTTAACTTTCATAGATTGAATAATTCACTATCATTCTCAAGTAAAAAAAATCTCTCAAATCGAAATGCATGTAATATTTTTTAAGTATATAGTATTTTTTCATGTTGAGTTCAATACAAATAATCGTTTAAGTTTTAGTTCCAGAATTTGTCCCTTTTACTGAAATGGGACAAATTCGGTAACTTTTGCTATTATTGTAATTTTATTTGTTTTTTTAATGGCATTTGTTTACCTATTCACCTGTTGTTATATTTTATTACGTTTAATATAGAATTCGAATATATTAATTTATTTATTAATTTGTATATAAAAAAAAATCATCTAGTATTTTTACAGTTCGTCAATTTATGTTGTCAAGTGATAGCACTGATTTTCTTCCGAGCAGCCAATATAGTTTGCTGAATTTCAGACCTAGTTGCTTTCTCTTTGTCCATATATGTTTCTTCCAAGAAAGTCTTCTATCCAGATGCATACCTAGGTATTTTACATGATCCTCCTGTAAAAAAAAATGTTATTTAGGGTTTCTGGGGAACAGGTTTTCTTCCTCATCGTAAAGGACATGAGTAGATTTCGTTTCGTTGACTTTAATTCGTCATGCTTTTAGCCAGTGTTCTATTTTATTTAATCCACTTTGCAAGTTTTGTGATGCAACTTCTGGTTTAGTGTCAGATGACATTAGTGCAGCATCATCCGTGAATGTAGCGACATCCAACGTGAAGATGAGATAGAAAATAGGTCCGAATACGCTTCCGTGTGGTACCCCAGATCTTGCATCCATATCTGGAATAGTCTACCCGTTAGGTATAATTTTATAATTTGGAAGAACAGGTATGGTAACAATTTCTTAATTTTATACAGCGTCCGGGATGCGTCGAATGCCGAATTCAGAAACACGATGAAATCGTGTCAAATCCAAAAAAATGTAAAATAAAATTCATCTTTTCTTTATGCAACACAACAAGATTGTGAAACCGCACTGCACAAAAAGAGTTGACTCTATCAAGTAAAACAAAAACGTACATATTAAAAAATAATTTTATATTAATTTTGAGAATTTATTTTTATTTTGTCAATTACAATTCACTGAATCCCCACATGCGAGGTATTACTATATTTTCTTATTTATTTATCTACGGACTGATCGTTTAATTAATGGATGTTTCTTTCCATCGAATCCAATAATTGAAAAAAAAAATACTGATTTGCAGGGAACGAAAGAGAAATTTAAAAAGGAAACAATGGAAGTGGAGGTAATTCAATGTTTAATTGGAATCCAAACTCCCTTTCTCCTCCAGCAATTTTTATCCGTAATTCAAGCCCGAATTGAACAGAACGAGGGTAACGTTTCGAAGCCTCGATACCAAAATCCGACTCGTAATTATTCCTGCGAAATCTATGCATATTTTAGATCCGAAAGCCGCAGTTTCCTCGAAGCGCGACTCCCGAGATACATTTCATTAATTTATTTCGTTTGTTGTTTAACGGATCGCATGCTTTTTACGTTCGAATTGGTAGATGAAGTAGAGATAGAATAGAACGTTTTCCCGAACCGAATGATAATAATTACAGAAACCTTTCTTCTGGATCTAAGGAATCGGATGAAAACCTTAATTGCACTTCACCCTTACATCTGTTTCCGACGATCCATTCTTTGATTGAAATTTTATAAGCGAAACCTCCTCGCAATTATTAAATTTCAAAGATCACGTCACAACCTGCTTTGCCAACTACCAGAACGCCCAGCACCCTGTACACTTAGTTTTCGCTCTAAATAATTAATGAAACTTAATATTTTCCACAGAGAATTAATGCCAGTCTCTCCATTTTCCTTTATCCGTCGGATCGGCTTTCTAGCACATTTTAATATGCAAATGTTTTTTTGCTGCGTTTTCACTTTGAGTGCACTCCCATGCGATTGTAAGTGGCCTGATTAAAATGCAATATGAAAAATATATACAGGGTTGTCTATTTTGCATAACAATTTGTCATAATTAATTTAGAAACTCTACACTTACTATATTCATGTTTTAATCATAATAACTATAATTTACTACAATGGACAATTATTTTTTTTGATGTTCCATTTTCAAAGCAATAAACAAAAGGAAGATTCATATTCTGTTTTAACCAAAAATAAGGTGTGTCTTAGCAGCGTTTCTCAATCTATAAGTAGCGACCCACTGTTGGTTTCAATTTTTAATGGGTTGCGAAATGACAGATCTCACCATGCACCAAATTTGTATGTTAAAACAATTGAGTTGTTGAGTCGCGCGGCAAAAAAGTTGAGAAATGCTGGTTTCTAAGATTTATCATTCTTTCTACTTTTCATTCTTGAATTTAGCTTTTGAAATCGCTATAAAATCACTTTTTGTCAATTTTTTAAATGAGTTAGAAGCTAATTTATTTAGTATAAACACTATTCAATACTTATTCATCTTAATAACCAAATTACTTACAGATGTTATGCGATTTGTAAGAAGATTGGTAAATTTTATATTTTTGTGTTTATAAATTTTTATAAATTCTTTATTTTTTACCTTGTTTATTTATTATAGTTGTATTTACCGCTTTTTAATTTATGCTGATTGTGGGAAATTTTGTACTTTTTTCGGGACCAAAGGAAGATCAGTTTTTGGAAAAACTGATTCGATTCCTTTTAGCTAAACGTACATATTTGTACATCCATTTGTTTTATTTTCTTTTTGTGTTCTGTTTTTTGGATAATAAATTCGATTATTATAAATAAAAAAATATATTTGTAATTGAAAGAAGTAATTTGATAAACTTGGACATTTTTATATAATAAAAAAATGTAGGAAAAATATAATAGACGGATATAGGATCAGCAGCAAATTTACTGCTGATGTTAACCTACAACGTTAACCATCAAATCATAAATTATCATGAAGAAAATAAGGGTAAAAAATTGACAAAAACAAATGTCAACCTCCATAAGATTTACTTAATGATCATATGAATAGACTGTAAAATAAAATATATGGAGACAATATATTATCGATATCTAAAATTACTTACAAATAATTAATAATCATTTATTCACTATAATAATAATACAGAAGAAGAATCAGCAACATTTAAGTTATATTATTTTTTAATAATTAACTCTTATTATTATTTTACATCTAACATCTCCAAACTTAATTTAATACAAATAAATAATGACAATACCAATGCAATCTGTACGATGTACCCTAAATTTGAGATAATTTTGAAAAACATATATCTTTTATCAACATTATTCTCCATAATTTTAAGACAATTTTTCTATGTAATAATGGACTGAAAAAATGCGGTATAAAGTAATGAAAAAGTTATTTGGAATGGTTAAAAGAAATAGGTCACCCTGTATATATCTTATTGCAATATCGATGGGGGGCGTATCTGTAGCAGCCCTTTGACGCCGACGACCCCTCTTATAATTAACGATGCACCACCATCGAAAGCTTTTTCGATTATGCTATATATCACGCACTGTATATAATATATAGATTATTAATCATAGCATCTATTAATTGGCGTCCCGAAATACAATAAGTAAAAAAAAAGCAATATAAAGGAGCGAGAGATAGGCATAAGATATTAAATGTGTTAAAAAGGGAGGGAGAAAGAGAGGGACGCACAGAGGGTGAGTGAGTTCGCCTTTTAAAAAGTGCAGCGATCGTGACTAATTCCCCATTCTCTTTCCGCGCTAATTAATGCGTTTTTAAAATCGCCTGTTCTCCGTTAGCCAAAAGAAAAGTGATGCGGAACAAAGAGCAGAAGAAAGTTCGGGCGCTCGTTTCCTAAATTTTAATTTAATTAATTCGCTAGCGAATTAATTCACGTTCACGGAGGAGTGAAGCAAAGAAAGAAAACAAAATGAAGAGGGAAACGAGAATTATGGATGAGGAGAAAATCTATTTCATTAACACGTTTTTATTTTTACGAATAAATTATTTTGCCTAAGTGGCAATCAGTTCTGTTCATTTCACTGGGCAGTGGACAACGGGACGTTTTCCTGCAGCACGAAATTTATGTTGTTCCCTTTAAGCTGTTCCTTTTGTGGACTCACAAGGAAATGGACTGGATACGACATCCTCCCTTCGGCCAGCGCCGACATTGGGCGTGTTCCTCTCTCTTCTGGTGAAACTGAACCTGAATCCATCCTGGACTCTTCCGCTTGATGCATTCCTTGCCTCAGCATATGAGAAGATACGTCATGCTGTTCCTTCATCTTTAACCAGTCCTCAGCATTCATATCGTAAGAATTTCTCTTCCAACTCAATGTATCGGCTTTCGGTGAATCAACAGCTTTCCAGTTCTCCTCTGTTGATCTTTCGCTCACTTCCCAAACAGGAATTCCATTCGACCCCTGGTTTTGGTAAGATCCACCTTCATTCTGCTGATAAACCTGATCTTCAATTTCTTTGGCTACAATTGGAGAAAACTCTTGTAAATTTTGAACCTCCGATTCTTCCGACTTCATAGAATTGGAATTATAGACACTTTCAGTCTTATAAACGTTAGAGCTTATAAGATTATTAATTTGAGCTTGATGACCAAAATTGTTGAACTGTTGATTAGATTCTTCATTCAAAGGGTTATGGTGCTGGTATACATTAGGCACATACTGGTTTGTATCAAGAGTTAAACTAATAACCGAAGAACCTGCATTATTTTCCTGCTGTTTTCTATATTCCTCAACATTTTCTTTTAAATTTGGTTGATGGTTATAATCAATCACCGAACTTTCTTGCATTTTTGACTCCTCGTCAAAAATTGGAGCCTGAGTCTGGTATTCTGGAGGAGTTTGATAGTAAATATGATCATTAGATTTTGGCATTTGGAAGTTATTTCCTTGACTCGACTCGTAATTCGTAATCGATGGTTTCCAACTCTGTTCTTGATTAGTTTGTTGTTTCTGATGAATCTGTCCGCCAAAACCAGAAGAAACGGTTAGAGAATTAAATTCTTCTTGAGTTTTCGGTTCTTCTATTTTATAACTCGCACTAACTTGAGGTTGGTCATAATTTCCTGTAAATATGTTACGGTAACCATCCAATTTAGTCTCAGTATTTCCTTGTGTAAAAACATTTTCGTATGTATTTCCGATGTTGTAGGATTGGGATTTTGGCTCTTCTATTTTATAACTCGCAGATGCTTGATGCTGCGAATAAGTAGCTCCTAATTTCTGCTGATTATAAACCTGCTGTTGAGCTTTTTGATTTCCACCATCGACGGTCAGCTTGGTAAAATGTTTATATTGATTTTCAACGTTGTAAGGTTTTTGTGGTTCTTCTATTTGGTATCCTGCAATCACCTGAGGTTGCTTGAATACCATTCCAACTTGGTTATTACCAATTTGCACATTGTTTCCAATGATGGATGTAGTACGAAGGCCGTTTTTTGCATTATCTGATTTATATGGAGTTTCATTGATGTAAGATTGTGGAGATTTTGGTTCATCGAATATGTAGCCCGTAGTGACCTGAGGTTGCTTATAATTCATTCCAAGTTGATTCTGTATATAGTGGCGTTGTGCATTGATTCCAATTTTAGAGTCTATATTTGAGATAGGGCTAGTAATATCTTGTTTATAGCTTGATTCTACTTGAGGCTGTTGGTAATTAATTCCATCTTGATTCTGGTTGTAGTGGTTATGTGTACTAGTTCTAACATTCGATGGTTTAGTTATGACAGAACTAGCAATTTCTTGATTATAACTTGATTCTACCTGTGGTTGCTGGTAACCCAGTCCAAGTTGATTTTGGTTATAGTTATATTGCGTATTGGTTCCAACATTAGATGGTTTAGTTGCAACAGGACTAGCAATTTCTTGTTTATAGCTTGGTTCTATCTTTGGTTGCTGGTAACTTAGTCCAAGTTGAGTTTGGCCATACTGGTATAGTGTATTGGTTCCAAAGTTCGACGTTTTAGTTGATACAGGACTAGCAATTTCTTGTTTAAAATTTAATTCTACCTGCGGTTGTTCATAACTCATTTCAAGGTGAATCTGGTTATTGTGGTATTGTGTATTGGTTCCAACATTCGATGTTTTAGTTGTGACAGGACTAGCAATTTCTTGTTTATAATTTGATTCTACCTGCGGATGCTGGTAACTCCCTCCAATTTGGTTCTGATTGTTGTGAAATTCAGTTTTGGTTCCAAAGTTAGATCCCTTAGTTGCGACTGTATTTTCTTGTTTATAACTTGGTTTTACTTGATGTTGCTGATAACTCACTCCAAGTTGGTTCAGATTATTATGGAGTTGAGTGTTGGTTCTAATTTCATGTTTGTAATTTGATTGTACTTGAGGTTGCTGATAAGTCAAATCTACTTGATTTTGGTTGTACTGTAATTGTGTATTGGTTTCAACATTAGATGCTTGAGTTACTTTCGTTGAGAATGGATTAACAAGTTCCTGTTTGTAAATCGATTCCTTTTGAGGTTGCTGGTAACTCATACCATTTTTATTATACTGCAAATGATTAGTATCTGCGACAAATGGTCCTGAAGTTTGGGTATTTTTTGAAGACGGAATTTTGTATTGATTCTTAAATATGCTAGGTTGATTAGATTTTGGCACTTTGCTTCCGTAACTTGCACTCGCGTGTTGCCGTTCATAATAGATTTTAAACTGGTTCTGATTACTGTTATCTTGTTGATTAATCGGTACAAAGTGATCTGGCGATGGTAAATGTCGACTAGTTTCGGCTACATCACTAATATATTCACGCTGCTTTTGATAGGTTTCTTGAGTATTATATGTATGTTCTGGCATCTGATTCACTGGAATTTGTGGATATTGTTGATTGGAATAATTGTCAATTACGGATTGCAATTTTGGTTTGGAGCTTCCTTTCTTATACTGCCTCTCGTCACTGGGATGATTCTGTTGCGGGGAGTAGTAATTGATTCTAGGCGATCCCTTGAATGGAGTTGAGTCTATCGATGGACGATGTCCATAATCATATGGTTTTTCGGTGTACTGCGATAATCCTGAGGGAAAGATAATCCTGTACTTCGGATCCTCCTGAGGCTGTAAATCCGCTGCTGCAAGGTCGATTTGTTTGAAGGGCGCTTCAGGTCGAGGCACCGGAATCACCATTGGATGCGACCAGTAGGGTTTCTGAGTAGAGTACTGCACCTTGTTGAAGTGCGGAAGATTTTCGTAGATGGGTATCCTGATCACCTTGTATGGCATCCGCTTGACCACTCTGTAATGGTTTGGAACGTGAAAAGGGATGCTTCCCGTAAAGGAGGGCCCGTTATTATGCCTCGTCGACACACGCCCCTCGACGAAAACACCCTTCGCAAAAGGCCTCTGCGCCATCACGGCCACACATAGCACCAGATTGAACACAAGAAGTTTCATAGCGAAATACACACTGATCCATTGATGACCGCGGCACGCTTATATACTACATTCATTATGCAAGTTGTAATTAGTTAATTATCGAGCGTGAAAACAAACTCGTCTTTCACTTTGGAACTTTCTTTCGGATCCAGACTAACTTTACCGAATAAAGAAAGGATTAATCTGGCGTGTCGTGCAGAACGATCCGCGAAGTACACGCGACCTTGATGATAAATCTGTCCGTTTCGCGTATGTGCATTTTTTTACTCTATCAGTTATATATTTTTTGTACTTATTTTTTTCTTCTGTGCAGAGACCGAGGGGGAGTTTTATTGTCACGGAATACTAAATGTCCGTAGTGTGGCGTGGGATTGGTCTCCGGAGAAATAAACCAGAATGGCTTCGAGCTTTCCGCTCTTCCGAGGCCTGCAAGGATCCCGCCGTCATCTCATCTTTTTTATTCTTTTTGTAGTCCTACTCTCCGCGCGCCTGCCACCCCTCGTCGTCTTCCTCGTCTCCGCAACCCCACGGCACGTCGGCAAGCACATTCACGCAATCCAATAAAAAAAGCCGGAGCGCGAAGAAGGACATAACAAAATTGCACGCAATTACCACCGCTGCCACCCCTTTTTACCCTCTTTATCATTGACGCCCTCGCTCTATCTCTTTCAGGTACACACGTTCCGCACATTTGAAAGGGAGACAGACCGAAAGAGATGAAAGAGGAAACAGCGTGAAATAATACATAACATCGTTCTTCTCTTTTTATGCGGTTTCGTATTACATGTACCGAAAATATTAATATCACAATCGTGATTACACTGATATTTCAATTACAAATTTTAATCTAAATTAATCTTTGATTAATTAAATCAATTTTTACTTTTTTACACAATTTTATATTGTTCTAATCTAATATATACCCAATCTAAATGTAAATAATAATAACCTAAATAAAACGTATTAGTTCCATCTAAGTTAATGAATTATAAATTGAACCTGATTTGATTTGTCAATATTTCACTTTATCGTAACATGATGAAAATGTTCCTGTAATTATAAGTAAAGTCTTTGTCCAAATGCTCACTGATTTGAAAGAATTTCCAGAATGTATTTTTCACGTTAAAAGATTTAAAACTATTATGATATAGCATATTCGTAAAATTCAAAACACATATTTTAGTTTTTCAGGTTTTGTCTGGATGACGGGAAATAAATTTAGAAAGGCATTGATTTTGAATATCGCTTTTACGTAATTCCCTTTGAAAAGCTTAAATTCATCAGCAGCGCGACGTTTCTTTGATCCTAAAAGCTGTCAGAGTTTGATAATTCCACGGATATAATTGTTTGGCCAAGCCGACACTGATGACTGTGTACGATTTCTTCCAGTAAGTAATCTGCATCGATCAGTCAGCTGCTTTAAATTCAGCATTTATTTGGCAACGGGGGGGTTGAAATTAATTGAGCCGTAATGCAGATTATGAAAATGTACGATTTATTGTCGGGCTCCAGGCAATATATTTTTTTCTCTCTCTATTTTCAATTAGGATTGTTATTTATATTGCGTGTCGTTCAAATAGGGGCTCGGATTTTTATTATCGGCCGTTTAGATTACATCCGGTCCCACGCACAGCTTCCGACCATTCCTCTCTCTCTTTCTCTCTCATTCCTTTCGGATCGCCCGGGATTTTCTTGGGAGTGCGTGGGCGGACGCGGAAAGTTCCACCACTTAATGCGGCGGAATTTAAATATTTGAAATTGAAAGTTTTCCACTGGCTCTCAGGCTCAGCCGTGCGCTAAAACTCTTGGGCCGTATGGGGGTGCCGTCACCACCCTCGTGCTCCCGTTTTGTGTACATTCTTTTCCTTGCCTCGACCCTATTTTTGGCCCGGGGGCGAGAGTACATTGCGAAGAATATACACACACAGACGCACACCATCCCTATCCACACGAATACACATACGAACGCATACCCTGACTCATGCCAAATATTAAATTACATCCGACACACATCATTTTCAACCCTCCAACACACCGCTGCATCCGTGTGCGAGCCGACACACAGGAAAAAAAAGGGAAAAGGGAAAAAATACGGGAAAGAAAATAAAAGTAAAGCGAGCGAAGCGAATGGGGAAAAGTTTGGTTTTTCTTCACTCGCAACACACGCACAATAATACACAACCCCTATTCTGACATCAACCTAATTGGTTTACTTAGCACATCACAAACATGTTTTTTCTTGCTTTCGCACATATTACTAATAAACTAAATATTGAACGTATAACTTTCATCTTTCAAATTTAACTACAATTAAGTTTTTACCGATTATTTATATTTACCTGAAACATTTACATCTTTTAGTTTTGTTCTTGCACGCTATATTTATTCGGCCAATGTGTGGAGAAACTATTAGGCATTGTACATAACAAGTTTATCCTTGTACATTGTTTGACCATTTCGTTTTGATACCGAATACTCTATAAAAAAAGTTAATTGATATGTGTTAGATATCGATTATCAATGGTTTGTTCCTTGTTATTTTACCTAATATTTGTGAAAAAATAATAATTTTAGTTCAAGTACTATTACTTTATCTCATGTTTAATCAAGTCTATTAACCCTTTCAGGACAACTGGTTACTGCTGCTAACCACAAATTTAAAATTCATTTTCAAATTAATTCAGTATTGCAAGTGCATACTGGTTACCAGCGCTAACTACATCCTGAAGGATAATCTATTCACATTTTCTTACCATAATATTATTGAAACATTTATTTGTAGAAATAAAAATATGTAAAGTATTTTTTTTTAATTCTGTTTTCAAAGGGTTAAACAAGAGATAAAGAGAAATCATATTTTTTTTTATATTTCGTCGGAATATTAATGCTGAAGACATACTTCTAATAAATCGAATTCATATTTCGGAGTTTATTACTTTTTTTAGTGTCTTTCATAAAAATATTTATGGGTAAATTCGTAAAAAGTAATCTCAATATTGTTGTAATTTTAAAAATAATCATGAATAAATGTTGCTTGAAATTTGTTTAATTATTACATATGAATATTTCAAGCCATATAATGAGGAAACTATACTTTACATTGCTTGTGCCATCTGTAGTATAAATTATTTATAGGTAATTAAAAAAAAACATTTAGATTTTTTGGTTCATCTTCATAATAATGCATTTTATGCACTAAAAATAAAAGGGGGACTCTTATATTTTCAGTGCATAATAAATTTAGCAGTTATAATTATTTTTCACTTAACTGCACATTCTCTATATTCTCTTCGTCGATAATTATATTATAATGTTTATAATAAGTGTTTTTCATTAGTTTAATGACTTGTTACTATAATGTAACTCCCTCAAATTGTAACGTATTAAAGATGAATGAAGACCATGATAATTCATCATGAGATAATTTGAATAATTATGTTTGACACACATGTAAATAATACCTATCATATTCTTTATTAATTAGATGAAGAGTTATGAAATAAAATTCTAAGAAAAACTATAAAATAAGTATATCCGATAGTAATGTTTTGGTTTATCTATTTCCTGCAGCTTTTAATTACGCTGTAAATTCAGAAGACTGGATCCGTTTGATTTCTGATCGATTACTCTCAGTTGTCTATCACAATAATTTGTAACTTCATATATGAAGGCTATTTTTAAATCGTGTAAAAAGAAATCCGTGTAATAACAGTAATTTCTACATCAAATATAATAAAACAATAAAAAATCATAACAAGTAATTGGTGATTGCTACATTTATAATTATTAAATTAAAATTTATGTTTATTCCACCCTAATTTTTCATCTCCAGTAATCAAGCGATCAACAAAACGCTTCTATATTGTGCCGTTGTAGCAATAAGTTGCATGAGTTGGATCTGTAAGCTTTGCTATTTTCGGACAGATTATGCGGATTATGCGATTTATTATTTACAAGTAAATAAGTGACTTTAATCTTAAATAATAAACAAATATTAATATATATAAAAATAATTTTCTCAACTTTTCTTTTAAAATTATTTTTTACAAATACTCTACATATCTATATAATAAAAATCAAATATAAAAACAAAACAAAAATAGTTTTTGATTTTATATTCGGAAAGCGAAGTTCCACTTTGTATTCATCTGAAGCTGAACTTTATAAAAGAATATGCATATTTGTTAGTATTTATAAAAGTCTTAATCAGTTTAACTAAAATATTTTACGACTAGGTTGCGATTTTAGTTTTCGTTCATTTGCGCTTTCGTTCATTTGCGCTTTCGTTCATTTGAAAGTATTAGGTTGTTCTGGAAGTTCTCGTCTTCTGGTAATAGTAACTCGTATTTCAATTTGCGAATATGCAAAGTGTTGCCTGGGTATATTTACAAAACAAACTTTTCCTCTGGTTATAAATTGGATCACAGTCTACGTTCATTTAAAAATAAACACTTTTTCCATTTTATGAATATAATCCCGCGGTCACATTATTATACATTCATTAAATATTTCTTTGAACTTAATACTATTAAATTAACACACAATATAATATTCTATCCTATATATATCTTAGTAACTCTTTCTATATTCAAGGGTTCAAGGATAAAACTAATTATATTAATTATATTTATTTATATTTAATGCAAGATATGTTCTTCATCATTAATAAGTGGTATTCAGAAAAACACTTTTTGTAAAAGGCAATAATCAACGCATTAGACTTCATCAAATTACTGCTCTGTTGGTGATTTCATAAAATGGGTTGATTTCTGTGGTATGAAGGCTCCCCCGTCGCTCTCCTTAATTGACTTACAGCAAACATGGAAAATTACGATTTCTCACATGGACAAGTTGCTGCTGGGCCCCAACCTCTTGCTCCTGCTTTCCTCGTTGCCCAGCCAAACCATCAGCTTTCAAACGAGCAACCCCCGTACATTTCCTTCCTTCCTCAACTCCACTTCACTCTATCTATCCAT